TCCCTTCCCTTTCTGTCTTGCTGTCTGCTTTTCTCTCTTTCCCTCTCTTCCTTATTCCTATATCTCTTTCTCTCTCTCTTTTCTCTCCATGCTTCCTCAGTCCTCTCCGGCATCACGGCTCATTCAGCACTAGTGATGTCAATTACGGAAAATCGGAATACCGATACCAAACCAAATACCAACCAAAACCACGGGAAAATACTGAAACCAAACCAAATTGGGAAAATGAGGGAAATACCAACACTTTTTATCGATTTCTTAGCCTCTTATACATTAGTGAGGGTTTATGATGCCAACAAAATACCAAACACATTACGATTGAAACACGAAATACCAAGTTGGTATCGGTTTGGTATCGGTATACACCAAAAAGTTGTATCCGATTGACATCTCTATTCAGTACGCATGCAATTCGCTCACGCCTCACCTTCACCCATGTTCTAACTCCGCCGCCCTCTAGCAAGGGCTCCGCCACGGACTTTTGGTTGGGGGGGACGGTCTGCTCTTCGCCCATCGCCCTAGTGTCTCCTCTAAACCTAGGGTACCCCCAAATCCAGTTTTCTCATCGGATTTAGGCCACTTGTTTTTCGTCATAGCCCTGATACGATGATTTTTTAACTAGAAAAATAAAAAATAGAGAAATGGTAGGCCACCTGACCCATGCAATATTACCCAATATTAGATTGTAGTCATTGTACCTTCATCATATTGACACACCAGACAGAAAAAAAAACTTGAAAGACCAGCTTCAATTTTTTAATGGTATCTGGCTCATAGTTTTGCGCTGAATCTGAATCCATTTTTAGCATTTGGCGAAGGTCGAATCAGGTTAGGTGAGATCAACAAGTGCGTGTCCCTCCGGCTAGCCAAAGTAGGTGTCAACCACAGACAGCTTCGTAACATGTTGCATTGGTACCAAAACTACTTCTCAATGTTATATGCTTAATTCGACATCATCTCCAAAAAGTTTCCTAGTAACATGCCTAGCTCGAAAAAGTGAACCAAATTCATCTAACGGTAATGATCTTGACCTGATATTCACGTGACCTTGACACCTACTACAGGGTGTCTCAAAAGTTCGCTTACAGCTACCAGCCATGCTTTTTTGTCAATAATTCTGAATCAACAAGAAATTAACAGTCGAAATTTTGCATGGGCATTGGTAACAACCTTCCTAAAGCAGCTTCATTGTTTTCAAGCGCATTCGACCCTTCATGAGCTCACAAAAAGGGTTCACCTCTGACCATGGATCAGGCATGAAAATGGAGGTCGCATACTCGGGTCGGCTGAGAAACTCTCTGCTTCACGAGTAATGGGAATGGTTAGGTCGGAAATGACACATGGCAAAGTGTCGGCGAGGATGAGTACAACATGATGGTCATCTAATAAAAACGGTGGCTAAAATTTTTGAAGGACAAAACCATGCGAGACTAACAGCGCTTTGAACGACCCTTGTACCGCAGCAGACTCGTGCTCCGGAAAGCAGCTGGAAATGCAGTCCTAACTATTGAAAACTGACTAGAAGCTCACAGACAGAGGTTACCCAGTTTCAAAAATTGCAGGTCATCATAAAATAAAGACAAAATTTCATTTAAAATTGTTTATAATATCTATAACGCTAAATTTTGAGGGAAAATAATGCGAAAATCGTCAATGCCGAGGACAAATGACCCTCCAAAAGTGTCAATTAATGTAAAGTTTTATCTAACGAAGTTTCAAGAGGTAGATCTGGAGCAAATAGCTTTCTTTTACACACAAAATCCGGACAAAACCGCACGATGGACAGGTTTTGGCCGTTTACAAAGCAGAACCTCTCCTGAGGAAAACACTCCGGAACCCAGCGAAGGTCTTGGCATTGGGAATGACGAGCGTTCGGGATTTGCAAAATTTGCAAAATGTGTCTAAGAAACAGATGGCCGACACATTCTGCTACGATATGCTGCGAAAAATTTGCCCCTGGCACTTCCCATTTGTTCAGGAATGGGATTGTTTTGAAAAGGAAAATGGTGCTTGGGAAGTCGGCGCCAGTCATTCATGAAGGAGTTAGCGCCAGAGAAGACCTACAAAATACTCACGGGCGGTGTTGATGCAAGATGTCGGCTTTCAGGGAGAAGCGGATGTTGCCGGGGAGCTCGTCAAACCTAAATCCGACGCAGAAACTGCAGGGGATTCCCCTACAAGAGCTTGAAAGCTGGTAACCTTTTATCAGCCTCCGGCAGCTGACGGAGTGACGAAAATCGGTATGGGCAAATATTTTTGGAGATACAGAAAAAGGTTTGGTTTCCAACCTTCCGAATCAGTTGTCAAAGCATGCATATTTGTCTAGTGTACACACGGACACCAAAACCTTAGATTTTTTGCCGGTTCTTATATGCTTTATTGACATGGGAAATGTGTAAACGAACTTTTGAGACACCCTGTAGAATGCATGTGTCTAATTCACGTGACCTTGACACCTACCAGAATGCATGTGTCTACCGTCATTTCACATGTTGGCTCGGTTTTATGACATAACAAGTCTGGAAACGTACAGATAATGTGCGCTAACATACACCGAATCGGTGGTTCGGCCTGACATGGTCTCCAGAAATAGGCCACAGGCCCAAAAGTCATGGCCCATGGGGTTAGGACTTAGGATCATGAAATTTTCAGAGGATGTGCAAAATTCCCGGGAAATACTTATAGTTTCGTCACGATAAACCACTTATTACGCGAGTTACTTGTGAAAAACTGAGGGGTGGGTCAATCCGACCCACCATAGTCCATATAAGAACGAGGGTTAACCTCTCAAACACTTTAAACAAACAGCTTCTCTCATCCTACAGTTCTGCGATATTCTTATTTGACCGATGGAAGTTTCCTCTTAAAGAACGACAGCGTTTACCCGAAAAAAATAATATCCGTATTGATTGTTTAATTGATTGAATTTGAGAGATCCTTATTTGATTTACCACATGCCGAGATATCCCTTTAACATTAGCACGTGCATTTGGGAAATGGCTTCGGCCCGCCTCGGCTAATGTTGAAGGTATTTGGGAAACGATTCGGCCCTAGGGCTTTTTGATTTTCCCAGACAAAATTTTACTGAATATTCTGAGCGGAAGAACCAATTCCAAAGAAGATATTTACGGATTGTGTGTTCACTAACAGCAACAGCAGAAGTGAGCAAAATTAAGTGACTGCGTTTTCACTTACTTTTGCTGTCAACGTAATTCAACTAAACAAGGGTATAGGTATCGTTCAAATGCCAATGTATTTATTGCTGCAGAACATGGTCAGCGAACTGATTATTACACTTATTACAACATAATGCACGCAAAAAAACGAACACTTTAAATGCGCGAAGCATCGTAACAAGCCACAATGAAACATTTGATATTGTTCCAGCTGGGATCCAAGACGCGTTTGATTAATCGGTTCACCCAATTTTCAGTTTTCCTCACGGTTTCCTCACTCCTGCTGGAAGTGGACTCCATATCTTTATTCTAACTTCTGACGCTTCACAATCTTCATCCTCAGCCTTTTCAAACCCTAAATAAGGGGGAAGTAGGAAATTTCATCTTTCATACTCAACGCAGCCCGATAATGAAAAACACAAAAAGATAATCACGGTGACTATAAATATGATCATAGTATTAATATAATATTAACACAATATTAAGAATATAATAATATATATCAAATGAATATGATATTAACTGTTGCGCCGGTACGGCATGTGGTAAATCTCTTCCCAACCTTCGGCTGTGAAAATGCAATTTTATTCACCTCGGTTTTTGGCTACGGACCTCGTGCCTACCGGCACTCGGTCCTCCGCACAAAAACCTCGGTGAATAAAACGCATTTTCCCAGCCCCGGTCGGGAATATATAATACCTACTGGATTACCCACTGGATATACCTACTGAGGCCTCTTGCACCAAACTACCTAGCTAGGTAAAATCGAAAAACTGGTTTCAGAATAAGCTTATCAAACGGTGGTAAATTTGTTTGCAATAGTTCAATACATAATCCTACAGGTGCTTGGTAAATTTTACCGGCAAATTGTCACATTTGAGTCTTGGATTGGGTACACGATGCAAAATAATCCAAGCATTGGTGCAAGAGGATTTTGGTGCAAGAGGCCTCTGGATTCATCATCGGACTGGGACGTATGATTGCGAACATTCGTTGCAGTAGACTCACGGTCACGTTGATATACCTAACGCGAAAATGCCTGTCGATATTGTCTACTAAAAAATTGAAATCCGTGGCCCCCATAACAGAAAAAAAGACTTAAAGCACAGGGCGACAATATAGGTTGTCGACGACAGGTTAGTTAGATTCTCATCACGTTTTTTTTTCGGAGATTCTTGGCACTTATGTTCTGTATTCGGTGTCAGGAACAAGAGTCGATTTATCTACCAGCGGAGGAGCCGATTATTGGGGGGGACAAAAGATAGTATGTCCCACCCAACATTTTGGTTGGGGGGGACATGTCCCACCCGTCCCCCCCGGTGGCGGAGCCCTTGGGCCGCCCTCTAGCCTCTGTGGCAGCGACTGGGGTGTCCGATAGGCTCGTCATTTATCTCCGTCAGTGGATGAGGTGCTTTGGGGATCGTGTTTCTGAAGACAACAAACATGAACGGAATACAAACACCACACTGAGGTGGGATGGATGACAGAGCCCGGCTGGAAAGACCGCAACCCGTGAGAGGGATACTGAATGTCCAGTTTTCTGCGAACTAACTGAACATGCATAATGCATAATGGTTATGAAAGCAATGGCCAGGAGATCCGAGAGATGAATAGACGGAGCTGGCAAGCAATTAGCGGCAGCAAATAGCAATAGTGGGCATGACAACGAAGTAAGAATTTACGGTGGTAGATTCTGACTCAGCAGTCAGCTGTGTTGTCTCATTCCGGTTTTTCAGATTGTCTATTGTTGCAGTAGCCCACTGCTGTATATAAGAATACCTAGGTCAAGGTTTGGTACTTGACTGTGCAGTGTGCAGGGTTGCAGGGTGCAGGTCAGGGTGCAGGAAGGTGCAATTTTTTTTTGTAAATCAAGTTATACTGCCCTGGGAGAAGCTAAAGTCGTTCAACATTGTGACTCATCCTCGCGTGAAACCATCGGTCTCATCGACTCAGCTCATCGATTGCAAATGAAACAATGCCGCATTCCAATACACTTTATGGCGATAATAAAACAGCGGTTTTCAGCTAGCAAGGCCGGAACATCTAAGGAAAATCATAGACCTTTATACAGTAGGAACAAATGGACATTGGTTCATGCAAAATAAGCAATGACGATCACATATGACTACGATTTTTTACAATAAACAATGTGCACCTAAGCACATATGTCACGCTTTATAAGATCTCTTTCATTCAAATCTATTCGCTTTCCATGCACTCCTAGGTCCGAGGTCCTACTACTCAAGACAATCATAATTCTCAATATTGTCTCATTTTTTTCTGTTCACTGAGAAGGTCGCGGCCTTGACCATGGGACAAGAGCTGTATGACGTATATAGTTCCACATTTTGGTAAGGACAGACTAAGGCAGGATTTTACGTTCGTATAACGATCACACTGCCTGCAATAGTACGGCCACGCAATTACCAACCTCTGCATACAGTATCAGGCTGTCCCGATCTTCATACCTGAATAACGAAAATTCGATAAACAATGCTCAATTCTCAGCCTACGACTCAATAGCTGATAGCATCTGAACCATGCACTGTTTCCGCCCGGCTTTCGCAAACCATTCATGTTCATCACGTTCACGAAGTCTGTCCTGAGCGCACGATGTCAAAGTTGTGGACGAAGCGCAGCATCTCCGGGAAGCCGTGACGGCAGTCGGGGAAGAACCTGGCGCACATATCGGCGCCGAACCTGTTGCCCACGAAGGCGGCGAAGTAGTAGGGCGCCTTCAGGATGCTCATCTCCTCTAGGTGCGCCTCGGAAGGCTGCTGACTGCAAAAAAGAGCGATGGTCACTGATCAGCGAGCAGCCTTGATGGAAAATTGATATATAAGGTAAAACGTCTATAGCGATGCAATACCTACAACCAATGAGCTAAGAAAGTACCAGCTTTCTACATAAAGTTTATGCATAGTTTATCTATTTAACCCGCGCCCCACTGGGGGGGGGGCTATTTATAGCCCCCCCTCCCGTTTTTCTGCAATAACTTCCAAACCGCTTGACGTATCGACGCCAAACTTTCAGTAGCTTCGGCTGCATCAATTTGACACCTTGTGTCAAAATTTGAACTTCGTACCTACCATAGGTCGGCCGGAAATGACGTCAGAGTGACGTCATGTTCGGCCGATTTCGACGCAAAACATTGAACCACGGCAATCGCTCCCAAGAGCTCAGTTTTTAAGCTAGATCCAATTTCTTTGCATGAGAGGACTCAGAATAGACTGCGCTATCAAACTGCTATCTCGGATTTTCGAAATTTTGAAAATTTCGAAAATCCTATATAATAAAATTCAAAATTTATATTTTTACATTTTTTCAAATTTTTTTTTGACTTTTCGAAAAAAAACCGGAATATATGTGATAGAACGCATTATTATGACTAATTATAGCAAGTTTTAGCTAAATATCTTCAAAAATGGCCAAGTTATACGCATTATTGCAAAAAATTAACAATTATTAATTTTTCAAATCAATTTTTTAGCATGAATTTGACATCGTACGCCAATATGAATAGCATCATCGTGTTCCTGAGCTCAAACTGCACCCAATAGACACCTTTTTTGTTGAAAATTTCTAACTTCAAAATTTGACCTTTTTTGACCTGAAAGTGACCTGACCTGAGCTAAATTTGACTCAAAATGACCTCGAATGACACAGACGACATCAAATTCGAAATCTCTGACCTAAATGGACCATAAAACATGTGTCACGTGACCGACGCATGATATAATATTTTCGTGACCTGTGATGACCTGACCTTGACCTGAAAATCAAAGTACAAGTTCGGTACCCTTAGAGTATCTAGAGCATCTGTTCACGAGTGTGTGAACCAAAAATGAGCCTGATCTGACTTGTAAGACGGCGGCCAGAGCCCAAAACGTGAAGAAGCCAAAATGCTAATAATTTTTACTTTGACCTGACCTGTGACGTCATCGGTGACCTCGAGGTCAATGAAATTAGGTTTCGCTCGACAGTTTTTCCGGGGCTATCAGACGCCGTTTGAATTTTGACGATCGGCCCAGTAGTTTCGGAGTTAGGAGGGGGGGGGGGCTATGAATAGCCCCCCCCCCCCCCCAGTAGGGCGTGTTATACGCAGACCCCAGTGGGGCGCGGGTTAATCCGCATAAGACGCAAATATGTATTTTACATACACGGAACTCTTCATACCCTTATCACTCCCTGTATTTAATGTATTCAAAAATTCAAAGCCGGACATGCTCCAGATTTATATGCCGACCAGTGTCTGTGAGCCGCTTCTCTATCCCTTTATCCGTCCGCCACAATTCACGGTCACGGCCAAGTCGTATCAGCGCTCACAATCCGGGAGCGGCTCGTCAGGACCGGTTACAGCGGGCATCAGAGCACACGAGAGGTGAAGAAGATGTATCACGGCAAAGCACAGGCGCACTGGCAGCCTCAGCGCACATACGAGTATGTGAACATTTCATATGATGATTGGTGGCTTTATCGTGATCGACTCGTAACTATTCCGTGACAGTTGGCGATCCCATGACCGACCCGCGCCTGCTCCGTGACTGTTCGTGATCCTGGTCCCACCCATTGACGTTTTATGATTCCTTCACCGATCCGAGCCCTCTCCATGACAATCCGTGATTTCGTGACATCCGTGAAAATACCGTGAATCCGTGGTCACCCTCCGTGACATTGATGCTGGATTTCTGAGCGCGTCCCACCGTAATGCGTGGCCCATGTACCGTGAGAGGGGGAGGGGCTGTGAGCGTGTGAGATGAGTGACGAAACCCCCAGCCAGGTTAGTGGAACGGATTGCCCTGGTAAATCTTGCTACTTCACTGACCCCAACCCGCAGAGATCATCAGCACTACTGGCCGCGAAGGTTATCAGAGCTTAGTGATGTCTGAATGGCGGATCCACTCCAGTGAGTTTGATCGCAATGATCGATGATCATCGCACTGATCGTGTAATGGACTGATGAAGATCGTTTGTGATGACAGGTAACACATTGTGACGGCCGTAAAGCCGCTACCGACACGATCTACTTGCTGATAATTTCCCTTTTTGCCCCGTATCACAGCCAGTAACCATAAGGTCGATACTTACGTGATATACTTATGGACGATGGCCTCCTGCGACGTCATTGTTCGCTGCTGGTGTTTGGCCTCCAGGAGACAGGTAAACTTGGCCACACAGCCGAACTTGTCCGTGTGACCGATCAGTGACCAAACCGACACCTCGTCGTTCTTCCTGGGCGACTGTTCGTGACTCCCGTGATCTCCGTGATCTCCGTGATCGCCGTGATGAGCTCCGTGGTCGCCGTGCGCCCCGTGATCTCCGTGGGCCCCGTGATCTCCGTGATGGTCTCCGTGATGAGCCCCGTGGTCTCCGTGATGATCTCCGTGATGGTCTCCGTGATGGTCTCCGTGGTCGCCGATCTCGTTAAGGTTCCTGCGGCTGCGACTGTGAGTGGCCAACGACCTCCGACTGGCCGTGACCAGAGTAGCTGCAACAACAGATGGTGGCCGGTCAGCGGTCGCCAGTCGGCCCCTCCCCACCAGACAGTCACGGCAGCTGTCACACTCACGGCCACCAGCATCCCTTACCTGACCCGCGCGGCCACAGGCGGTCGGCCGGGGGGTAGCCGCCGCCACAGCAGTGGAGGGGCGCCGCCGCACGCACGTACAAGAGAGAGAGGTGCAACAATGATCAGTGACAGATCATGGCCGCTTGTGGTGGGTACAAAACAAACGCGATTCATCACCTGGGAAGGCTACGTGTGTGACGCGCGTGGAACGTGTCTAAATCCGAGACCGATTGGGCCAAATGTTCACCCCGCCAAGACTGTCCAGTGTCCACTGTCCATGCACTCAAGAATGGTACGCCGATAGGAGTGAGGACCACTGGGCAGATGTGTGACCCGACTGAACAACTTAGTTGGGAATGGATGTTACAATTTATAAACGTGCGCACTTTTAGGACCCAATTACAGGAGGCTCTTCGCCCTCGCTTTCCTCACTCATTCATTGCTCGTCAAAGAGGCGTTGTACAATGCAAGTGTTTTCGCTGACTGTTGATCCTCAACACTGAGAGCTGTTTTGATTCCTTTTAAGCATATTAGGGGAATTGGTCTAAAACAACACCCTGATCATTTCTCCTAATATACCCCAAATACACTTTCTTTGAATATCACTCTGAAATTCTTCTAATATACCCTACACTGAGAACCTTTTTGATTCCTTTTGAGCATATTAGGGGTTTTGGTCTAAAACAACACCCTGATCATTTCTTCGAATATACCCAAACTATACCCTTGTTCTTTAAATAGCTCCCTTGAATTCTTCTAATATACCCTAGTTAGTACCGAAGAGGAAAGGAATATGATTCCTGTTCTATTCCCTGCGATACCCACAGTACACTCCTTTTAACCTACCAAAATACCCTTACATCGAAACCTCTAGTATTCCTTCTAAGCGTATAAGGGGAATATTTTGCAAACTATACTCGCATTATACCACGTAACACTCCCGTATTATTCTGTGATTTCCATCACTGATCTCAATGTATTCTTGCATTAGACCCCACATAAACCCAGAATATTCGTCGTAGAACTTGCTGAGAAACTGTCTCATTACTCTCAGCTCCCTCAACCGATTTCCCTTTATATATCGTAACACATCCAAAACGAGGGTTAAGGTTCTATCCCCAGCAGGGCGCGTATGGCTGAATAGCCCAGCGGGGCGCGGGTTAGTGGTCAGCAACAGTGTTCGCCACGGGCCGGGCCAGCCCAACGGGCCACGGGCCGGGCTGGGCTACGGGCTGGGCCGGGCCCCCAAATATCATTAGTTAACGGGCTATGGATGGGCCGGGCCAAGAACTTTGTGCACTATGGGTTTTGCGACTAATGTCAATTTAAGAAAATTTGGAAACTGATGCAAACAAAACCCACTGGGAAAATACAAAAACTAAACCAAATTTAAGCAATGTGAAAGAAAACCTACTTGATATTGAATTTTGGGAATCTTGAGAATTATCCAATATCACATCATGTCACACATAGGAGGGTTTTCATAAAAATTCCGCAACCAAAAAGATCAGAGAATCTCTAGCATCATTAGTTTGTTAATAAAAGTTAAAATGTAGTCATCAGAACAACTTACTTAGCACTACAACTCCAAAAACTAAGAAGCCACTCAACAATGATGGGCTACAGGGCTACATTAAGTTAACACTTATATATGGCGATAGTGAGACAATTCCAACACAGTCTTTTTTCCTTCACCGACGGCTTTTTAACGAACAGAACCTTAAAAGGATACTCACAAAACACACTGTAAGTAACGAGGAACTCTACAGAGTATTTCGCGATGAAAGCTTCTTTAAATGTCCATAAATTTGTCAAAATAAATCACAACAAACCAGCCCCTTCTCAACAAAATGTGCAATCATGGCGGCGGCGCTATGTTTATGTGGCGGCATCTAGGTAGTATACACAACAGTATATCAAATAAATACGTTTTTTTAGTGAGTATCAAGGTGAAAACAAAATTAAACCAATGAAAAATAAAACCAAAATCACGAAGTCTGAAAACTCGAACGAAAAACAAAACAAAAACTTGATCATATATGTTTTATTATACAATTCGTCAGAATCGCTACCTGCCGCAGCTGCGACAATCAAGAAGTGTTCGCTCATTTTCGATTGATGATGATGATGCGTACAAGTCGCAAAAGTACCCAATGACATTTCAAGCTTACCATGTAACGGAAGTTGGCACAGATTCAGCACAGATTCAGCACAGCACAGATTCGGTAGGGGGAAAAAAGGCCCCGGTAGAGGGAAACCTTTATGACCCGTTTTCCCCTAGAAATGACGTCACAAAGAGGTAAAAATGGGTATCAATCGAAAACTCTCGTTTACCCAGACACAGTCCTGCAGGAAAATTCCACTTTTTCCCCATAGGAAAGTTTTTACGGGAAAATCAAAATTTTGGGTCAATGGGGGGTCCCCCCCGATTTCGTTCAAAATCGGCACACAGGTGCCCCACCACCAGCCGAGAAACTTTCCCCAAAACGGTCCCCGTTGCATTGACGTTTAAGGCCCTTAAAGCCCCGTAAACTCGTAAAAAATTCGTAAATTCGCCCTTGTACGGCCAAAAACGGGGCGCTAGGGTAAAAATGGGTATCAATCGAAAGCTCTCGTTTACCCAGACACAGTCCTGCAGGAAAATTCCACTTTTTCCCCATAGGAAAGTTTTTACGGGAAAATCAAAATTTCGGGTCAATGGGGGGTCCCCCCCGATTTCGTTCAAAATCGGCACACAGGTGCCCCACCACCAGCCGAGAAACTTTCCCCAAAACGGTCCCCGTTGCATTGACGTTTAAGGCCCTTAAAGCCCCGTAAACTCGTAAAAAATCCGTAAATTCGCCCTTGTACGGCCAAAAACGGGGCGCTAGGGTAAAAATGGGTATCAATCGAAAGCTCTCGTTTACCCAGACACAGTCCTGCAGGAAAATTCCACTTTTTCCCCATAGGAAAGTTTTTACGGGAAAATCAAAATTTCGGGTCAATGGGGGGTCCCCCCCGATTTCGTTCAAAATCGGCACACAGGTGCCCCACCACCAGCCGAGAAACTTTCCCCAAAACGGTCCCCGTTGCATTGACGTTTAAGGCCCGTAAAGCCCCCTAGACTCGTAAAATATCCGTAAAATCGCCTTTGTACGGACAAAAAAGTGGTGCTATGGTAAAAATGGGTATCAATCGAAAGCTCTCGTTTACCCAGACACAGTCCTGCAGGAAAATTCCACTTTTTCCCATAGGAAAGTTTTTACGGGAAAATCAAAATTTTGGGTCAATGGGGGGTCCCCCCCGATTTCGTTCAAAATCGGCACACAGGTGCCCCACCACCAGCCGAGAAACTTTCCCCAAAACGGTCCCCGTTGCATTGACGTTTAAGGCCCTTAAAGCCCCGTAAACTCGTAAAAAATCCGTAAATTCGCCCTTGTACGGCCAAAAACGGGGCGCTAGGGTAAAAATGGGTATCAATCAAAAGCTCTCGTTTACCCAGACACAGTCCTGCAGGAAAATTCCACTTTTTCCCCATAGGAAAGTTTTTACGGGAAAATCAAAATTTCGGGTCAATGGGGGGTCCCCCCCGATTTCGTTCAAAATCGGCACACAGGTGCCCCACCACCAGCCGAGAAACTTTCCCCAAAACGGTCCCCGTTGCATTGACGTTTAAGGCCCTTAAAGCCCCGTAAACTCGTAAAAAATCCGTAAATTCGCCCTTGTACGGCCAAAAACGGGGCGCTAAAGTAAAAATGGGTATCAATCGAAAGCTCTCGTTTACCCAGACACAGTCCTGCAGGAAAATTCCACTTTTTCCCCATAGGAAAGTTTTTACGGGAAAATCAAAATTTCGGGTCAATGGGGGGTCCCCCCCGATTTCGTTCAAAATCGGCACACAGGTGCCCCACCACCAGCCGAGAAACTTTCCCCAAAACGGTCCCCGTTGCATTGACGTTTAAGGCCCTTAAAGCCCCGTAAACTCGTAAAAAATCCGTAAATTCGCCCTTGTACGGCCAAAAACGGGGCGCTAAGGTAAAAATGGGTATCAATCGAAAGCTCTCGTTTACCCAGACACAGTCCTGCAGGAAAATTCCACTTTTTCCCCATAGGAAAGTTTTTACGGGAAAATCAAAATTTCGGGTCAATGGGGGGTCCCCCCCCGATTTCGTTCAAAATCGGCACACAGGTGCCCCACCACCAGCCGAGAAACTTTCCCCAAAACGGTCCCCGTTGCATTGACGTTTAAGGCCCTTAAAGCCCCGTAAACTCGTAAAAAATCCGTAAATTCAGCCCTTGTACGGCCAAAAACGGGGCGCTAAGGTAAAAATGGGTATCAATCGAAAGCTCTCGTTTACCCAGACACAGTCCTGCAGGAAAATTCCACTTTTTCCCATAGGAAAGTTTTTACGGGAAAATCAAAATTTCGGGTCAATGGGGGGTCCCCCCGATTTCGTTCAAAATCGGCACACAGGTGCCCCACCACCAGCCGAGAAACTTTCCCCAAAACGGTCCCCGTTGCATTGACGTTTAAGGCCCGTAAAGCCCCCTAGACTCGTAAAATATCCGTAAAATCGCCTTTGTACGGACAAAAAAGTGGTGCTATGGTAAAAATTGGTATCAATCGAAAGCTCTCGTTTACCCAGACACAGTCCTGCAGGAAAATTCCACTTTTTCCCATAGGAAAGTTTTTACGGGAAAATCAAAATTTTGGGTCAATGGGGGGTCCCCCCCCGATTTCGTTCAAAATCGGCACACAGGTGCCCCACCACCAGCCGAGAAACTTTCCCCAAAACGGTCCCCGTTGCATTGACGTTTAAGGCCCTTAAAGCCCCGTAAACTCGTAAAAAATCCGTAAATTCGCCCTTGTACGGCCAAAAACGGGGCGCTAGGGTAAAAATGGGTATCTATCGAAAGCTCTCGTTTACCCAGACACAGTC